TCCTTAAACTAAAATTTTTTCACCTTTTGACCAAAATCAATTTAACACTTTATTAAACACTCAATTATTCGAAATCACTCCATAATACGAGAAAAGAGCCCTAAGGCATGAAATTACTAAATCACCTTTGAGCATAATATACTCTAAGATTAGAAACCTTCGAATCAAGAATAAGATTTTGAATAACTCCGATGATGGCTACTGCCTAAACTTGGTTGAAGTTCTTTGTTTAAACTACATACAATGATGGTGATTAGTTATAATTGTAAAGGATGGTGAACGACCTACGTTCTTTTATTTGATTTACGATCATGAGGGAAATTAATGAGTCATATTGGACATATGATATTATGATTCAATTTCTGGTCACGAGTGATGTAAAATTATCTAGATACTAGATGATTTAAACACATGTGCAATTTTTATCAGTTCGATATACTCTTCGAATGAGTAGTTGAGTATGTCACACCCTGAATGTGCAGCCTTAGATACCTCGGAACACTTCTTGGATGGTTTGGTACCTAAGTAAGCTTAAAATCACTAAGCAAAAGGCTAAGTTCCACTCAAAAGCAAAAAGAACTTAGAAAGGAGATGGCTCATAAAGACAAAAATAGAGAACTAAGTGAATGTTCTTATATTCCTCAAAAGTGAATTGATTAAAGATGAGGTGGGAAGGCCTCTATTTATAGTTTACTCCCCTTACAATGGACGCATAAGATTCAAAATAATCAATGGCTAGGATAAGCCCTATTAAATACAAATCTTCATATCTAAGTAAAGTTAATCAAATCATCATCTCATCAAATCAATTAATTACATTCTTTTCTTTGATTGAAGTTCTCCCTGGATATGAAACGATTCCTCCACAATCCTCTTTGATATGATATTTCCTATCTTTTCTCCAAGGTCAATGTGAACAGGTTATTTACCTTTCTTCATAGATTGGCCTAAGTCTAAAGGTTTGGACAAGCCCAACATGCACATAGAACCTCTATTGCAAACTTTAGCGCACACGTTTTAGGCTCAAAATCTTAGGGCGTGACATACTCCCCTAATGTATCTAGCGTCACCCTTATTGATCCATTGGAATGTGCACACCTCAATCGTAAGAATCTTTTCCTATCCTTCTAGATTTGCCTCGATACAAACCATCAATCCCTCAACAAAGGCTTGAAGGACTTATTTGGTTGAATCTTAGATTTATCAACATCCCTAGCGTGTCTCTTGAACTCTGAAAGGTCTCATATATTCTTTCCAACTTCGGTCGCTTTAACCTTATGGTTAGGTCTCTGTTGACCTACACTTATTAAATATGGAAAATTAGATTAAAAAACATAAAGATTGCATTTTAAGATGTACCTCGTTCTCTTCAATTGCATTCACCCAAAAAAGCATCAGCCCTCGTTTCTCCACGAAGTTTGGTGCCCTTGCATCGACACTTCTCCCTTGAAGTTAGATTTCGCTTGTTGCATCGGCCATTGTCCCTTGAAGTCTGGTGCCTTTACCACCTCACTTATTGATGATGCCTCCATGTCTCTCGAAAGCTCGAGCCCCTACATCATTTCTTGATTGTTCCCACAATAGTTACCTCCAAAGTGTTGTTTTCCTCCCTCAGAACATCTTCATCAAACTGGAAGGTCGTCAATACCTTGTCCATTTCCATTTGTCTCAATATGTTGGCATAATATATCGTCAATTTGGATACAAGATATATATGATATCTTGATAGGGAATGATAAGAACTTGAATTTGTTTAAGGAAACTGAAACCAACAACAAAATCAAAGTCATCCAATGAAATTACCTTGAAGTCTTATTTGCCCTTCCATTAACCAATCTACAACTCTATCATGTCTGTCACTCCAACAATAGACACTTCCTCGAAATTGATAGTCTTGATTATCCCTTTTTCTTTTTTTACTTATATACTGAGATTGTCGTAAGCTCTCTTAGACATGAATAGATTGGTTGCTCCATTGTCCATTTTATCATTCTTCGATCATTCCGCCACGTTGATGTTCACATATATAAACCCTTTCTACTACTGGCCTCATTTTCCTTCGAAGAACTCATTATCGTTGTGCCAAGAGTCATAGCTTCATCAACTTGGCTCGTCCTCTCCCTTGGATGCCTTAGTTTGATCCTCACGACCTTGCAACCCTTTTGACCCCTCACCTTAGTGGTACTGCGAGTTCTCCACTTCTACCTTCAGCTTGATGGTCTTAATGCTTGCAATTGTGATAGGTCTGGATACTTTCACTTATGGTTCGTCCTCTTAACTTAATATGACAACCATTTTATCCTTCTCTGGACATTCTCTTGCTAAGTACTTACCTCTACAAATGTAATAATTGAAAGGCTCTCTCCCAAGGTTTACGAGATAAGTTGGATTTCTCATTTTGTGGCTTCCCCTCGCCCTTTGGATGCTCTTTGGATTCATCCATGTATGAATTCTCTTTATCTCCCCTACCATTGCCCTTATATATTAGCTTTGGTCTAGTTGGTTCAGTTCTTCAGACTTTAAATTCTACTATGGACTCTACTACAATCAATGCTTTGGGATAGTTCTTGGACATCCCTTCATTGTGTCTCCATCTTGGCCCATTATTGTAGTCCATCCATGAAGGCAAAGAATCTTTCTTCTTCTCTCATAGTCATGATTTGTAGCTTAAGTTTCATAAATAGGACCATTATGTTTCAATTGTCGCAGCTTTCATTGTGCCTCAATTTGTGTATTCTTAGGGTAGAATTGTTCCTTGAACTGGACTTTGAACTCATTCCACTTTCTCATGGGGATTTCTTGGTTCTTTTCCTCCATGCATCTATGTCGCCACCCTAAGAGAATGACATCAGTCAAATAATTAAAGCAACATTTACCTTGGTGGTATCATCCTCGATACCTATACTCTGAAAGAATTGCTCCATATTCCAAATGAAGTTCTCAACTTTAGATTCTGATCGTGTCCTCTTGAACTCCTTTGGCTTTAAAACATTGATCATGAGTTTTTCCATTGGTGCCTCTCCTAGCATCTCGTTCATCACGACAACCTTGTAAACAAGTGGCTCACTCGTGAGCTCCTTCATTTCCCTCATCAACTCGACCCTCATAGCCAATAACGTGCTCTCGAGACCATTGGTCTGCTCATTTAGCTTTTTATTTATCTCATCGATGAGTTCCTCAGTCACTCCCTTGAGTCCCTCCTCTAAGGACTCTATAATTTAGAGGTGTGGTTCCATCCGCTCATGGGCCACATTGACTTCACTCATTTCTTTCTTTAAACCCAACATCTCAGCTCTAATAGCATCATATTCTTTCTTCGTATTCTCACCGAACGCATCAAGGAGCTCGTGCACATTTTCCTTGACCTTGTTTTCAGAATCCTCTAACCTATTGAGTCTTTTCTCCATGGATGTAAAGGCGTCTCCTGCCTTCTCTTGCTTCTTCTTTGTAGCAACACGAATCTCGGTTCCCTCCATAATAGTTAAACCTCTCCTTGGTTTTATGTTGCCATCTCTCTTATAACTAACTTGAAACATTCACTGTTATCACAACGAACTCGCTCTGGTACCACTTGTCACGATCTTGGAGCCTTTAACTCATGAAAGTGCAGTCTTAGATGCCTCAAAACACTTATTGGATAGTTTGGAACCTAAGTAAGCCTAAAAACACTAAGGAAAAGGCTTAGTTCCACTCGGAAGCAAAGAAAGACTTAAAAAGGAGACGTCTCACAAAGAATAAGAAGAGAGAGTTGAGTGAATCTCTTATACTCCTCAAAAGTGAAGTGATTACAAATGAGGTGGGGAAGTCTCTAGTTATAGTTGAATCCTCTTACAATAGATAACCAAGATTAAGGTAAATCAATGGCTAAAATGAGCAATATTAAATACAAATCTTCACATCTAAATAAAGATAATCAAATCACCATCTCATCAAATCAATTAGTCTCATTCTTTCCTCTGATTAAAGATCTCCCTAATATGGAAAGATTCCTCCATAATCCTCTTTGGTATAATATTTCCTACCTTTTCTACAAGGCAAATATGAAAAGGCACTTTAGCTTCTCCATGGATTGGGCCAAGTCTGAAGGTCTGGACAAGGCCAACATGCCACATAGAACCTCTATTGCAGACTTTAGCTTCATATTTTGCGCTCTAACTCGTGGGGTATGACAAGTATCATGGTTCTATTCATATGTCACGTTTGTGTGAGACGATATAGGAAAGTAAGTTTTTATGTGATTCTTTACATGATCATTATTCATTGAGATTTCACAATACACAATAGCATGTCTTGATGTCTATGTTTGATTTTTATGCTAATGTTTATAAGTTATATAAAGCATAGTAGAGTAAATGTGTACCATTGAGTTGTGAAGATCATCGTTCGAATTATTTTCATATGCATACAAATATATTATGTCTGCGTTAGAGGAACACCATCGACGAGGACTCTTATTCAAAGTACAATATTTAATTTACATGAATTGACGTATGTATTCATAAGACTCTATTCGTTTCTCAATCTGTATTATTATTTTTATTTTCACTGTCATATTCATAATTCCAATTTATATCATATTGTGTTACTACTTTTTTTACGTTTATTCGTTATGGATGAATTTAAAATACTTTGATATATTTATTTTAAGATGACGAAGTTTTAAATTTATCGGTCACCTAAATATAACACGTTGGACCCTTCATATATTTCGAACGAGCTTAGAATATTAAAATTTTCATACAACACAAACGGATCTAAAAAAAGAGAGAAGAAAATCCCCATGAAAAGCAAAGTGAGAGTAGCTGAAATGAATTCTGGATCTTTCACAAATGAAGATCATATCTTTTATTAAATCAAATAAAAGTTAAACCTTTTTGAATTTGTAAGTTCTTGCATTCACCCGTAATATCTCACATTAAAATCTTTAATTTTCACAAATTAAAGAATTTAACTTTTATTGGATTAAGTAAGGATTTGATTTACAGTTTCACCTTCCTAATTCATCTATTCGTGTTCGTATTAGTATTGTAGAACTTTCGAATAAACTCTTCAACTCTCCTGTTGAGTTCCTCGTCCGACATAGTCGAAAACTCGTTTTGATCTTCTTCTATGGACGCTTTCTCTTTTCCAACTGGTTCATCAAGCTTTTCAGTCTTCGATCTCTGCAAATTGTTTTCCCTTCCACGACATGCAACACGTTTCACTTTATCAGACTTGCTTCTTCTGATAGTTCGAGGTTTAATTGTCTGATGATCACAAGCTTCATTATCAGGTTTCATGGGATGTTGTTGATGCAATTTATCATCCGATATTCTTACTGGGATTTCATTCTTCTTTTGATCAGCTACGTCTTCTTCTTCCTTGGGACTACTTTCTTCGAAAAATGAAGGAACAGGCACAGGTACAGCAGTAATATGTGTCCTCCTTGCTTGGCCATGCAACACATATTCGTCGTAAAGGTCGGGTTTCGGATCTTTCGAGGAAGCAAAAGCGCAGTAATCGGCTGCGATGATGAGGATGAGAGTGTTGGAAATGGCGAACCAGAACTGGGGATTACCGACAAGAGTGAAGGAGAAAGGCTAAAGATGTAGAAGATAGAGACGTAGATCACAACCGAGAGAAGGAAGGCATAGGAGGACACGCCTTTTGCTTTGTGACGATGTAGCTCTTGCCATATTTGTGAGTTTTCAACGGATTTTCCATTAGATTCGCCGATGAAATAATGGGAAAAAAAGGGTTTAGATTGTAGTATTGGATAAAGAGTAGATGAAAAGGCTTTTATAGAAAGGAGTAGGCAAATAATTGACCGCCCACGATCACAAAAATCTCCCACGGTTTCCACGTACATTCTTTGTATGTCCTACTACTCAATTAACTAGCTGACTGATTGAGAAAAATTATATAGGTTGCTTAATAATGAGGTGTCAACATCAAAAAAATTTCTATCAATGTATAGTATCTATACACCCTATAATGCTTCAAATAGCAAAAAATATCCACATATATAAGCATCGCTTTTTAAGGTAAACTACATGTTTAGTATTTGAATTATCACTTTTATTTTATTTTGATAACTTAATTATCGTTTTTTTCTAAAATCATACTAGAGGAACACATTTTAGTAGAGTTCACTTACAATAATTATTTTCAGTCGAGCATTCAGATATATTTGTTTGAGACGATGCATAATCATAAGTATAAGATTCCTTATGTTAGATTAAGCTTGGTGGGGAAAGGTCGTGGGTAAAGATTTTATTAAAATCATAAAAAAATTAACTGATCCTATTCCATATATAATGGGATAAGGGGTAGGTAGGATAGTAGGTTGCCCCAACGCAAGGTTGAGAGCAGCTTCCGTGGGAGACCTCCGACAGTCAGAATTATGAATGTCTTAAATATCATGAATGTCTTAAATATGATTTTATAAATATTATATTGATAATGATGATTGATTGAGCGCACGCTTAATTAGTAGTTAATAAGGCCAATTTTATGATATTGGTTGTTGTTTAAGGTAAAATGAACATTACCTTATAAATTAGGAATAGCCTAGGGGAATTTAAAGAGGGTTTAAAGGTGTCTTCTTAGCCTAAAATACTCACTTCTGGGTTGGGGTATCGATATCTATTTATGGTATCGATACACTATAAATATTAAGTAAAAAATAGATCATTTGGGTGGAAAGCATCGATACCCTAATTTGGAAAGAGTTGAGAGAATGTTAGAATGAAGAGTTAATTGATCGGTTACCTAATTATTAAGTTGGGCTTAATATAAAAATAAATATGCAAACTAGATATCTAAAGTTAATTTTTAAGTGATTAAAGAATTTTTCGTTAAGATTAAAACGTTTTTAAATGAAATTTTAAATAAAAATAATATGATTATAGTTTATCTTTCTCTAGTTGTTAACCCTGGCCGTTTATCTGATTCTCAAGCTTCTCTTTCTTTAGCTTATTCATCTTCGTGAGTTCTTCATTCCGAGTAGATTCTGGGTTCATTTGTGCTTTTTTACCGTAGGATATTGACTTTTTTTAAGGGAATTTCAGTATATAAATGAGTAGTTTCTGACTTTTTTTTACATATTTAAAACATTTTTTTTATTTAAATTCAACTAGCCCATTATACCAGAATTAGTGGTTTTGCCCTCATTATTGAGTCTACAAATAGCAGCCTATTTCAGCCCATTTGAGCATACAACTCAACAAAACCTCTTTCACATCCTCTCGTATCTAGGGATGGGTATGGGTCGGGTTTCGACCAACCCGACCAAAAATTTAACATCCTTCACCTAACCCCACCTGACCCGAAAAATATATACCCTCACCCGACCAATATTTTAAGATAAAATCAAACCCAATTGACCTGACCGAAATAATAAAAAATATTATTTTTATTCAATAAAAATACTTATTTAATTAAAAAATAATATATAGAGGGTATTATTGTAATTATTCCTAAATATATAAGTGAAATTATATTTTTTTAGGTCGGATATTTTAATCCTAACCCAAATCCGACCCGACCCAAATATCACCTTAAAAAAATCCGACTCACCAACCCGTCGAATTCGAGTCTCATGCTCATCTCTATTCGTATCCATGTGTTTTTTCGATCACCGAAAATATTTATTATAAGAGGAGAAATACCATCCGCCAGAAAACTAAGGTAGGCCCCTTGTAGAGTTTTGTTATATGAGCTATTTAAAATCTAAACTATAAAGTAATTAAGGTTTAATTTTTGAATTTTAGGTGTAGTAAACTAATAATTAGTAATTTAATATCTCTTTTGTTGTTTATCAAAAAAATTAACAAATCAAAAAGTTAGTTAGTAGAAATCCTCTGCCCTTTTCTCATACCCCTTTATCTTGCGGAACATTTCTTACCATTTAAATTGTTTCAGTTCTACTTTTGTTTTACATTAAATAAATTAACCTTAGATTATACTTAGTTTTTATAGATTTAAAATATTAATAAATACAATTTTTTATAATTCATATTCTCCACAAAATAAAATATAACTCGACTAAATTTAAATTGAATTTACATTATTAAGTTTTTAGTTGTGATCAAGTATAAATTTTATATATTGAATTTAATTACTTTTCTAAAATATTAAAGATGTTTAGGTCTTCCTATAAAATGATATATTATATTTTTAGTACTTTAACTCAAGCATCTTTTATAATATTTTTATTTTATTTGGTGTGAAATATGACTTACAAAAGTATTTTTAATTTCTTATTTATTAATATTTTAAATCCATAAAAGTTAAGTATAATTTAACGTTAACTTTTTGTAATATAAAACAAAAGTAAGACCGGAGACAATTTAAATAGAAAGACACGTGTCACAATTTTAGGTGCAGTAAACTAATAGTTATTAATTAATAATTTAGTATGTTTGTTGTTGTTATTAGAAAATTAAAAAATTAATACTTTATTTGTTTATTAATTTTGTACCTCATTGATTTTTTAAAAGTCGGAAATTTTAAACCTTCATATTATTATTTTAAATATTTTAAACAATTAAATTTTATAAAATATATATTTAAAAAACTATTTGATTTAAGGTTTTTAAAATATATTTTTATGTACTTTTTCAATAATAAATTTCAGGGTAATGTATACAAATGGTTCTCCGACTATAGGATACTACTTTATTAAGTTCCTTAACTATTAAAAGTTACAAAATAATCCTCAAACTATAGAACATTGCTTTATTAAATCCATAGACTATTAAAAGTTACACAATGGTCATCTAACTATTCGTTATGTTCCAAACTCTTATTTTTCCGTTAAAAATTTATGGTTCTCTATGTTGGACATTAACATGATGACGATTATATGATAATCGTTTGAGATTATGGGATAATATTTTTCATATCACTGTCAACATGTTAACGTTCAGCTTAGAATACCGTCAATATGTTAATAAAAAAACGAGTTTGGAACATAATGAATAGTCAGGTGACCATTTTGTAACTTTTAATTATTGAGGGACTCAACAAGACAACACTATATAGTTAAGGATCATTTTTTAACTTTTAATGTAACACCTTAATTCAGTTCGACCCGAAGATCGATGGACTACGATATCACACGAGACCATCGAAGTGGCTAACCCAAAAACTTTCTTTTAAAACAATTGTAAAACATCATGTAAATTCCATCTCGAGTAAAATAAAATAAAAACATAATAATTCAAAGTTTACAAAATATGGGGAGCTCCCAAATCATCTAGAATAAATACATTGAGTTTAAAATCAAATAGAGTTGCATCTGAATACAAAAGGGTTTACAATAGTACATGCCCTCTAAAATACATCAAGACATACTCTGGTGCCTCGCGGTGCTAGAATATCTTGTGACGATAACGCTCCTCAGACGGATATCGAATTATACGATCGTATTTGCTAGAGTAATTCAGGTGTCTGACTGTGCCCCGAGCGTCAAACAATACTAGTTTTATATCATCCTAGTTGTTATTGTTTCTAGTTGTTCTAAGATTATTACTGTTCTCACTTGTAGTTTTATTTCATGGCAATATAGTATTATTGGGTCCTCAAAGTCTACCCTTTAAAACTCTTGGTTCTTACCCAAAATTGTTAGTGGGTGTCGATACTAAGCTCTAGGTATCGATACTACTGACTTATTGAAGCCTGATAACAAGGATTGGTATCGATACTCTAGCCTGAGTATCGATACTTCTGGTTTTTGGTATTGATATTTTCTTGAGTATCGATGTCAAATTTGGCTTCGATGTTTTAAAAAATATCTACGTATCGATACCCCTATAGGGGAGTATGATACTCTACCCTTGGTATCGATACTCCCCTGAGTACCGATACCAAAAATGATTACTGAAATCTACGTATAGATACCACCCTACGAGTATCGATACCCATTGAAGAGGTATCAATACTTCTATCCCAAAATCTTTTTGATTTTAGCATCTGAAGAACAATATACCGATACTCGTGCCCATAAATACCCTATTTTGGACACAAAAAAACCTCTCCAACACTCCCAAACATCCTACTAAGGCCCTGAATGTTATTAGAGTGTTATGTATGATAGTAGGGTTATAAAAGGTCCATAAACATGCTGGAAAACATCAAATGTTGAATCTACCATAAACATGCTTAATAACTCATGCAAACTAACAAAACTCACCTAGTGATCTACATGTGGTAGAGTTGAGTTGGAAGTGAGATACCTTGGATTTCAAAGCTGCTGAAAACTCCCAAAGTTCAACCAAGCACTAGCTTCTCCTTTCTTTTAGACTCGGAGCTTTCTCCAACTTCTCTCACTCGACAAGAATTAAACACAATGATTACGAACATTGTTGGGGAGTTTAGAAAGGAGTTTAAAACATTTCTTGAGGCTTGAATCTCCCAAAATGAGTTTGTTTCTCTTAGGTTTCTAAAACCCCTCACCAAACTCATATTTGGTATCCTTAACCAAAACTTGTCATTGAGAGCTTGAATTGAAGCTTAGAATAAGGAGATTAAGGTTCTTACCTTGGTGTTGTTAGGCAAGGCTTGCAATGGAATAAAGCTCCTATCTTTCTTAAGATGTTATGGAAGAGAAAGCTTGAATGGATGAAGAAGAAGACAAAATGTTTGAAGAAAATGAGATATGATAACTTTTCCCCATTGACATCATCCTTCATTAAAAGGATTCACCCTTTGGGAAATTTTAG